AAAGCTAACATAATATTTTTATATTAGCTCGGAGAACTGAAAAATATTAGATACTACATGATATTTTATGATATTTTCCCACTTAAGTACGTTTCTTGCCAGCTTACCTCTGTGAACCGAGCGGAGCCAAATAACTTTTTCGATCAGGTTCTAGAAAAGCAGTAGGCTTTAAGACTGACGAGTATTTGCTCTAGTATTTCACTGTGACACAGACAAAGGCGATCGAGATGGAAAACTGCAAACGCTTGCAGCTGTTTAACGTTGATAGAGCGAAATCAAGACATTTGTTCTTGTTCTCTTCCGATCTCCTCGTCGACATCGTGCGTCTAATAAACCTGCTGCCTGTGGCGCTAGATTAATGCGCTCAGCAGTGCCAACACACAACGCCAACCTTGCCGTCACTCACAATTGTCCCGGTACTCACGGTTGATTAGTAATACTTCAGCTAGTCGAGCGTTAACGACATCTGATTAGTTAATGTAGCCCGATTACGCAATCATTGAAAAATATAATATCGTATTAACTAATATTAAGTTGATATTTAATAATATCATATTGTCTCAAAAGAAAATATTAGGTGATATTTTTTATATTAACTGGTCTACAGGTGATATTTTCACAATATTAACTTCACCGATTTTGGAGTTACCATTAACCCCTGATCGTATCAGCTAATATTAAGTTGATATTTAATAATATCATATTGTCTTAGAAGAAAATATTACGTGATATTTTTTATATTAGCTGGTCTACAGGTAATATTTTCACAATATTAACTTCACCGATTTTGAAGTTACCATTAACCCCCTGTCCTAAATGCGGTATTAGCTAATATTAAGTTGATATTTAATAAAATCATTTTGTCAGAAGAAAATACTAGGTGATATTTTTATATTAGCTGGTCTACATGTGATATTTTCACAAATATTAACTTCACCTTACCATAAACCCCTAATTCCGAATTTCATTGTGCCAATGCTTTTCATTTTTTAACGCGTACAAGTAATCACCTGGGATGGGTTCCTGCCAGTATACTTCTGTATAGTAGGCAGAAATCTTGTACTGTACACTCCCGTGCCGTAGATCTATCGGCTGAAATGCATATCATTTTCAAATTTGCTGCGGCTGACAAATTCTCACTCCCCACAAGGTCCTTTCCGGTTCTCCTGACTTCCACGCTAGTGATGCGGGTTGGCTATGTGTGTGTGGTGGCCACAAGCATCATCCTTGCCACAAACAATGCAGTCTCAGATGCCGAAAGCCACACGAAACTCTCGACGACAACTGATTATTCCGAGACTAACAAGCGATTCCTAATTAGTTACGACATGGACGATTTGAACAAGGACGAGGAGAGAATGTCCAACTTTAACAATGCCAGGATAATCACTCCTCAAAAAGTCGACGACCTCGTGATGAAGGAGACGATTGAGCTCGCCCCAAAGAATATTGACTGGATCCTCCAAAGAGCAGACGGGAGAATCGACGGGTGGCTTGACGAAGCGACAAATGAGCCCAACCCAATTGGAAACATAGGCCAGATGCGGGCGAATTTCGAGGCTTGAAAGACAAAGGGGTAACGATTGATATGG